GTACTGTACATTTTATTGTATTGGTATGTAATTTTGATGTCTTTTTTCTTATCTTTTTTCTTTTACTAAAAGCCTAACTAGGGACGGGAGTTGGAAACTAGCATTAGCTATAATCTCTGTATGCAGAACATCAGTCACATTGACTTGTTTGTAACGAGTGGAAGTGTTACTATGTTAACCTGCATTGTCCCTATCAAATAAACTAAATTAAATTAAATTATTGAATGGATTTGTGGAGCTGTTAGTTGCAGCCGTGGCTGTTTGCAGCTCTGCTTGTCACCCGCTGAATGGTCGCGGCGCAAGCAGCCACCAGCCACCGGACTTCACAGCTGATCTCCACAGGACTCCACTCAGTCCGCACTAGAGAAGGTTTATGGGTTCATGCTGTTTGACAGGCAGGTAGGTGGCTCAGTTATCTGTGAGTGTAGTTGTGCTGTAAGTAAACAGTCAGAACTCAGATCAGTTTTCTCTGACAGAGATTAAAGTTTAGTTTTAATCACCAACTCTGTGAGAGGACACGAGTTTAAACCTCCAACTGACATGTTACAAAATAAGAAAGAATTCAGGCTTTAATTACGTCATATTTCTCCCTCTTAATAGTGAGATGGATAAGTTAAGAGTTTACAATGAAAGTGGTTCCTAGTTGTCTATGATTAGTTATTTATGGTGTCAAAGTTTTTGAGAGCATAATCTCTCCAAGTTGTTTAACATCAGATTGCCCTGTTCGCCTACTACACTCATTTTGAATGATTTGTCAAAGCTGGGTTTGACACTGGACAAGAGAAGAGCACTGTTGGCTGGACTTACGGCTGCAAAAAAACTAGTTGCTACACGCTGGAAACCTCCACATTCACTATCTTTTCGAGCATGGGTTCTAACATATTTAGATATTGTTTATTTGGAGTTGTCGACAGCTAGAGTCCACAGAGCAAAAGAATCAGCGATAGTGGCTTGGCATTCACTTTTAACTATACTCCGTGGGTTTCAGGTGTAATATGTGACTGAGGTATGGAGTTCTGGATCCAGGGGTGGGTGGGTTATATTTGGGGTTGTTTACTATTATTTTTTATATTATTATCATTATTTACATTTTATTTATTTTATTACGTGTATGTGTGTATGGGTGTGTGCACGTACATATGCATATATATGTATAAGTGTATGTGCATGTGTGTATGTGTGTATGTATATGTATATGTATATATATATTTATTATTTTTTATTATTTTTATTTTATTTTATTTTATCTTACTTTAGTAGTTTACTCATATGTATCGTTATATGTGCATATGTATAGGTATGTGTGGGAATATATATTCTTATGCTCTATTTTTGTAACGTCCATATACCAATCTATATTTGTCTTTAAAATAAAATAAAATAAAATAAATAAAATTTGATCACAAAAAAAGTTTTTGAGAACATAAATAGAAAGATGTTGGGCTTTTCAAATGATGATCAGTAAGTGTGTGCACATAATTCACCCCTTAAACCTGTCAAAAACTGCTGGAGAAATGACAGTTTGTAAGTGTGTAGAAATTATTTGTAGGGGCGTCTGTGGCTAAGTGGATAGAGCAGGCGCCCCATGTACAAGGCTGTTGACGCAGCAGCCCGGGTTCGACTCCAGCCTGTGGCCCTTTGCTGCATCTCTCTCTCTCTCTCTCTCTCTCTGCTATCCTATCAATTAAAGGCCCAAAAAAATATATATCTATTAGTTGTAGACTAAAATTGTCTACATGAAATCTTTATAGAACCTATCAACTTGATTCTAATTTGATACATGAATTCGCCTAACTGGATTAATTTAAAGATTAAAAATAAACAAACATAGAAAACATAATGATTAAAAGTTCCCTAAAACGTTGAGTTTTTGTCGACTAAAACTATGAAGGAAATGACTAAAATGTGACTAACATTAATAAGCATTTCATCTCAAAACTAAGACTAAATCTAAAATAGCTGAGGACTATCACTGGGGTAAAGCCGTGATTCTTTGCCCAAACTAGACTGAGCCTAGCCGGGCTTGTGTAGGGCGAAGCAGTAATTTGTCATTATTGCCTCGGGTTTGAATCGGGTCGGGCTCTCTCCAGTTTACCAGTGTTTTATGTCTTACTTTTTTTTTTTTTTTTTTAATAGAACAGGTCGTTCTCATGCATAAATGGCAGGAGATGCATTGGATTGACTCAAGAAAGAGAGAAAGAGGGAAACCTCTTGGTGCCCCCTGCTACTCAGTTAAACATTCACCATTCTCACACACACAATTTGAGGTTAAGCAGCTCACCCAAGGATACTTTTAGACTCCCTAATGTATATTGGAGAACTGGGGGAGAAAGACAGAGGATAGGCAAGACAGAGCAGGAAATCAAGTCACCTGCAAGGTGCAGACAATTGAAATAACAGAAGGAAGAGAAGAAGGAGAAGTGCTGCAAGGAAACACTTTTTCACTTAAGTTGAACTAAATATTTTGATTATTAAAACATACATTTTTTACAGTAGATATTTGGGTTTTTAAATCAGGCTCAGGCCCACAACTGCTGCTGTTGTTATTCAGGTTCAAGTTGGGGTCGGGCTTTGACAGCAAGTGTGTGGGTTCATGTAGGGTCAGGCCTGTATAATAGTTTGACCTATATTGAGGATTAATGTTGTGTAATATCACTCTCCTGTGGCATTATTGCTTTGGCTCACCTGAACAAATGACGCCTTGGCACTGTTGTACTGTACGATCTGCTCCGTTTCCACGTAGTTAGCAGGATGGCCTTCTGAATCTATGCCTACAGACAAAAACAAAAGTTTAACAAGTAAGACATCTCATGCGGAGCCAATTATCACTGACTTAATGTCCACTGGATGTGCATACAGAGTGTATTATGGCTGGAACAGGAAAAATTACATTCACTTGAATGTATATAAATACCTATAATTACTAACAGCTGACATGAAACCAATATGTAATTAAAGCTGCAAGCAGCGTTTGGCGGGACCTCGCACTCGCGCCCGTTTTGGCCCCCAGCTTATGTCGTCACTGTGAATTATTTAGAAATATCAAACATGTTGCCACAAACATCAGAAAATCCTTACAGAGCTGAACATTTTGATGTTTGAATGCTTTCTGTAGCTGTAGGTATGAAAAAGTGATGTAACGATATGCAAATTAGATGAGTTAATTTATTCCCATCAGATTCCTAGTCCTTTATTTTGAGGAAGAGACAACAAAAACAGCACAAAACAAATCTACTGTGTGAATCTGTTCAAAATGCTGTTTTACTGAGATTTATGAAATCCAATATGGCTGCCGCCTAGTGACGTCACGGAATGCAAATTAGATGAGTTAATTTACTCCCATGACAAACTTTGGGTCATGATGAATATTTTTCTCATTTACAGTATGCCTTTATGTCTCACCACTTTCAAGCCACAGCCTTTTGAAATGTGGAAATGAAAATGGAATATTTTCCTTAATAAACTCTGGCACCTAAAGGGTCAAAATGGAGATTCTGCCCCTGTCATATCTGCATGTAAGATTTAGACACACACACACATCATGTTTCTGTGAGTTTGTGTGTGACAGCGGTTGCCATGGTGATGAAGTAGGTGCACCTGGGAGAAGAGCAGAGAGAGACAGACAGAACACAGAGAGAGACCTGTTGTAGTGGAGATTTAACTCCTCGAACAAGTTCTTCCCATTCCCAAACCGTTGGTCCAATCATGAAAAAAAATGTGATGATGAGAGAGATAAAGTTATACAGAAGATCTGTTTAGCAGCAGTTGAGCTGTCATGTGTGCGTCTTTAAAGCCGATACAATAAACGGTGTAGGAGGAGATGTGTTTTTTTAAGAGCACGTTTGAGGTGAAATCTTACTTTGAAAGGTCAAGTAGCTCACTTCCTGTTGGAATTAGGTCATGGGTGTCAACACGTGATTTGTAAGTCAAACACACCAGTTTTGGTTTGATCTTGATACGACATTCCTACAGGCTGCAGTGGCCAGTTTAGTGCACCTATGTGGCGCTAGAGAGCCCATTTTGGCACTTTAGGGGTTAATAATGTGTGTGTTCTGTTTCAAATGAAGTTTCTGCTGCTGTAATCTGTCCTTTAAAGATTGTGAGACACACAGACCAGAGAACCCTGTGGCTGTGTCTGTGTGTGCAGCCGTTGTCATGGCGATTAATGACTTGCCCGCACCTGTGGCAGACACAGACACGTCAGGAGAGCAGATCACCAAAGGCTGTTTATAAAGGGATTTAACTCCTCGAACAAATGCTTCGCATACCCAAACCGTTGGTCCAAGCAAGAAAATAAAGTGATTTTGAGAGACAGCCACGTCTCGTGAACGCACGTGTCGCGTTTTATATTTCTCGAGTCAAAAATGTGGTCAGGGGAGCGAGTTTAAAATGTGTTGCACCCCAGCTGTTTCCAGAAATTTCTCCTCTGAGTTTACATGGGAGTGAATGAGAAAAAAATCAGCGCTCCCTTCGCTTTGGAGCCACTCAGCAAAAATGTGTACGTGTGAGAGATTCCATGTCAACATATCTGTGAGCTGGACAAATTTTCCTACGTTTTGTGGTATAAATTGTGTCTGTACAGTGAAAATTGTGGCCATGGCAGCGAGTTAAAGACAAAAGTTTTAGACGATTTTTAGAGCCCTCTCCACTCTAGCTCACAGCATTCCGTGCAATACACACCCATTGTAAACTGAGAATTTCTCCACTTTTGCTCATGGTACTTTGAGAGGCACAGATGAAAAACGGTAAAAGATATGAAAAAGATGAAAACATGAGTGAATAGATGAGACCTGTGGCAACATTTGAGAGTTGGAATGGAGTCTGTAGCACAAAGTATGGAGACGCTGTAAATGCTAGAAAAAGCCCTAAGATTGGTCTCTTTCTCCCCCCTGCTGCCATTCATTTCCTATGGGACAGCTTTCGAAGATCGCCAGGACGTTTTTCTGACATCTCACCTTATGGAGCCCATAAAATCCAAACTAAGCGAGTAATGAAAAAGTTACGAATAACTTTTGATTAGAACGAGTTGATCTGTCATCTGTGCAAGTTTGAAGCCGATTGGATAAGCGGTGTATGAGAAGAAGATTTTTTAGGAAAGGCAGTTTTAAGGCAAAATCTTACTTTGAAAGGGCAAATAGCTCACTTCCTGTTGGATTTAGGTCAGGGGTGTCAGCGCGTGATTTTTAGGTCTTCATGAGACGAACACGCCACTTTTGGTTTCATGTTTCTACGACGTTCCTACAGGCCGTGGCGGCCATTTTTGTGTGCCTAGGTGGCGCTAGAGAGCCCATTTTGGCACTTTAGGGGTTAATGTCATGATTTTCTAAAATTTTTCACCGGTTCTGATGTGCGTGCCAATTTTGGTGAGTTTTTGAGCATGTTTAGGGGGTCAAATTCCAGTTCAAAGAGGCGGCGGGAGAAAGAATAATAATAATAAACGGAGCAAAAACAATAGGGTCCTCGCCTTTGGCGAGGACTGCTCTGTGAGCAGTCCTCTGCCTTAGGGCTCGGTCCCTAATAATAAACGCAGCAAAAACAATAGTGTCCTCGCCTTTGGCGAGGACTGGTCTGTGAGAATGAACGCAGCAAAAAGTATAGGGAGGGTCCTCGCCTTTGGCGAGGACTGCTCTGTGAGCAGTCCTCTGCCTGTAGGCTCGGTCCCTAATGATAAACGCAGCAAAAACAATAGGGTCCTCGCCTTTGGCGAGGACTGCTCTGTGAGCAGTCCTCTGCCTTAGGGCTCGGTCCCTAATTATGCACTTTATTTGTTACTGACTTGGTCTTTCCGTACATACAGCATACCTAGGTGTTCCTGCAATGGTGGCAAAACATTACCAAACATAACTGACCCTTCACTAAGTCCCACCCCTCAAACGCAGACTGGCCAATTATAGCATAGTATTAGCCTGCTCCAACAAGGGTCCGACAACAACAATGCTGAGCTCCATAAAATCTCAGGCAATCATTTCAGATTTCCTTCATTTTGAGGCTGGTTTATGTATTTTGAGCTAAACATTGCACCTGAAGCACGTGTAATAGGGATACTCATTACCTGCAGAGGTTGGAAGGGGTATACATTTCTTCTCTGTTCCAAAACCAAACCCTGAAAAGTATAGGGTTAGCTAGCTAGCTAGTGAAGGTATAGCCCACTGAATCTATACACATGCTACTGATGCTTTTAAATGATTATAACAAGGGCTGTCAAAATAATTTGTTCATTTCGTTTGTTTAATCACAGTAAAAATAACACATTAAAAAAATAATGTTGATTAATCAGCCAGGGCGTCTGTGGCTCAGAGGTAGAGCGGGTCATCCACCAATCAGAAGATCAGCGGTTTGATCTCTGGCTCCTCCAGTCTGCATGTCAAAGTATCCCTGAGCAAGATATGAACCCCAAATTACTCCCGATGATGCTTCCATCAGTGTATGTGTGTTAAAAATAGAGTAGCAGGTAGCACCTTGTATGGTAGCCTCAGCCACCAGTGTATGATATGGGGTCAGATCAGTCTCATAATGAATGAACTCACGCAGCGTTTTTCACGAATGCACATGCTCTGGTTCACAGTTGTATTTCGGACTCACTAATGCACACGATCTGTTTCGCAAATGCACACGCTCTGGTTCACAAATATAATGTTTATGCAAACTTTTAATATGAATTCAGAAATGCACACAATCTGTTTTGCAAATGCACACGCTCTGGTTCACAAATATAATTTTTAAGCAAACTTGTAATATAAATTCGGAAATGCACACGCTCTGCTACACAAATATTATTTTGAGGCACACTTGTAATATAAATTCACAGATCACGCGAATTGCTGAATGTGATTCCCTTGTCATAAAAAATGCTTGAAAACCAGTCAGACGCGCCATATCATAGGGAATCAATTGTTTTACTGGCGTCTTGTTTCTAGCGCTCCTTGTAGGTGTGATCACCCCCTAACTACCTCACAAAATCGATTGCAGTGGACTGCAGATCAGTTTTTGTGGTAGAGGACAGGGGGACAATTTTGTCCAAAATACAGCAGCTTTACTACGACACATCTGCCAAAATTTATTTGAATTTAAATGTTTTAAATACTCTCACAGCAAAAGTTGATGTATGTAATTAATTAGATTAATTTTTGACATTGTTTGACAGCCCTAATTATAACAGCAAATAAAGACCTACCTTGCTTTACAGGAACCAGTGAAGGGAAACAGGGAAACTTTGCCGATATTCAACCAGTCTTGTGTCATCACAGTTTTTGCAGGTGAATGTTGTTTGGCTTCCCCACCCGTCTACTGGCGGAGCTGGTGCCACAGCAGGGAAGCAAAACACTGTTCATCTGCACACACTGGTATGACACACAGCCGGATGACTATCAGCAAAGCCTCCCTTTATATTCATTGTCTTCTGTCTCCATCACCAGTGATGTGGTGGTTCACTTTTACACTGTGTTCCATGGCCTATAGTTAGACTTTGGCTTCTGATTGTCTCCATCTTTATAACCTGTTTTTGCTGCCTAGTCAGTTTGACATCCTGAATATATCATCCAAAAACATATTGTAGACCCCTCTGTCTGCTTTTCTCTGAAAGTGCTTTTTCATTTTTCCAAAAATATTATCATATTTCTTCAGGGTGTGCAGTTAGTTACAGTGTGGGCTCCATGCTCACTCCAGCAGCTTGACAGATGGGGTGGGGGTTAGCAAAGGGTCAACTGGAAATGTGTCTACAAAGGAACATACTAAAGACACATCACTTCAGAGATAATTATTTCCAGTGGACATGGAAATGAGGGGTCAGTAGAGCAAGCAGCAGACAGTAGTGTTACCTCGGACGTAGTAACGGACACCGGCTCTGAAACAGCTCCTCCTGGAGATAATAGTCCACTCACACACCTTACCATTGATGCAGCTGGACTTCATGATGATGACTTGTAAACACATGTGTTAAGAAACTCATATGGAATAGTAAGGAGTCAGTGCTATACATATTAAAAAATAACATGAACACATAAGAAGCATACCTGATGCCCAGGTCAGTATCAAAAACTTTTTTAATAACTATAGTAGCTTTGTTAGGCACTGTATTGTAGGTAGACCAAAGGACAAAAACTCTCACTTTCAGAAGTCATGAATCTAAAAAACAAGAAATTTTAAAGCTTCACTTGGATAACATGGTCAGATGGACCCAACATTAAGAGAGATCTCATACTCATCCACTGTAATAAAAGTGTCCGTTTTACATTTTTTTAAAGGGACTGCGGCAGTCACACAACAACAGGAAAGGATACAGCCATGGACAACAGGATACACAAACTTGTGTAACTGTGAGATAAGAGCAGTGTTAGATGATGACATGCTTTACTGTTGTACTGGTTTTTATCGTTCTGTGCACAATTCTTAACATAACGTTACCTATGTAACCCTGGTTCTCTGAACAGAATGAGATGTCTAACAATCACAAAGCCCCCATCCTGTTTTTTCAGAAGCATATACTCCATCGTACAGGATAAGCCGGGAGGGCAGCCACTCTCATGAACATCTCAGTCATGATACTCACAGAATCAGAGTTACACAAGCAACATTAAGCTCTTTCACAGCATTATTTTCAGTGTCTCACTATTGAACACTGAGGCTCCAACTTTGCCTGACAGGCTAAGCTTTAAAGGTCCTGACAAGGCCGTCGGTTAGTGAGTGTTTGATCTGTATGTCCTATGCCTTTATTTATTTCCTGTCATATTCCTGTTTTATCTCTGTTTTAATTTAATTCCTTATATATTGCAGTAAAATAGTTCATATGTGTTTGTAAATTAAAAAAATAAAAAATAAAAAAATTAAAAAAAATTGGCTCCTTAAAGAAGTGCCCCAGATTTTTGTCAACTCTGTCAGATTTCTAAAAAATCATTATTTAATCAGACATTAAAGTGGTTAGCTATATCACAAGGACTGTCTCACTTCCTGGTTACCAAAAAGGTGGGAATGCTGCTCAGGTACTGATGAACTTTCTATTTTTTGATTAATTCATTGAATAATATTGCTATCAGGTGTGTCTTAACCATAACAGGTCAACTCTGTAGCCCCTCTAAATCCAAACCAAATACATATTACGGTTTAAAAACTTGTATTTGAATTTTATAAAGAAAACTAAAATGGCTCCTCGCTACGACTGCTGTGAAATTCTTAAATATAGAACTTTTTGTCAGCTCTGTCAGATCTCTGTTATCCATCATGTATGCTGTTCAAGAAAAATGATATCACTGGGAAGTTGGCCATTACAAAGTAAAAAAAAAGGTAAAATATATCTTACAGTGAGAAGTGAAACTAAACGCTGTGAAAAAGAACGTTACTTGTGTTTTACCTCTGGCTGTGCAATGAATTCCCTCAACAGGTGGCCATTCCAGACGAAGCGCTGATCTGCCTGAAACAGAGACAATTACCACATGTTAACACAAAGCCGAAAACAGACAGACATGGGTGTGGCCTTCATCTGGATACAAGCCTGACTGTAGGGAGCACACAAAAAAATTTAGGATCCTGACACACCAAACCGATGGTCGGCAGCTGGTTAATGTTGGGCCATTGCTGAGCATCTGTTGCCCGAGTTTTTGCGCTGTGTCCCACACTGCTGCCCCTTATCAGCTCCCATCAGCTTTTTTTTTTTTGGACCGATTCAGCATGTTGAATTGGCAACGCTGACAGCTGAGCCCATTGGTGAATGAAATCCCTCTGATTGGCAGATCAGCTCAGTGCACGCAAAGAGAAACGAAAGTGAGAAAAGTTAACAAACTGCTAAAGTCCAAAAGGAGTGAGACCAAAACAAACTTGTTCCATTAGGTCACATTATTTCATACATGGGCCATGTGGAATTATTAACAGGCAGGTTTATCTGCATTATTTTCTGTGTTTCTTTTAAATAGAAAGTCCCAGTCAGCTGTTAGCAAAAAGTGGTGATGTAGGTTACAGTGCCAATGCCCTCCCCTCACCCGGCATTCACTGCTTGACAGTGTGATCCGGGAGAGCAAGCAAAGTTTGGGCTTGGAAGATTTAAGTTTGGAGGAAGAAGACAGTGTTTTTCTATTGTTTTTATTATACCTTCATTTAACAATTTGAGGACACACTGAGATTCAATACAGTACTGCATTTGTACTGTATGAACACATTTATAGATCTATCATTGTATACGCACAGTAGATGCAGTCAGCATGGTCCCAGAGTGGAGAAGCAGACAGTAATATTGGGCCTGCTTCACTAATATGTACGTAGAAAGGTTCTTCAGGGCCACACACATACCAGGGGCCTCATTTATAAAAGAGTGCTTAGGATTCATACTAAAAGTTGACGTGCGCCCAAAAGCTGAAAATGGCGTGCGCCAAAAAATAATCTGATTTATAAAACCGTGCGCACACACACTTGCACGCAATGTTCTCTTTATAAATCACAGACCTCCTGGAGTTGTGCGCACCCAGATCCGCCTCATATTCCGCCCTCTACACGCCCTAGTTCAACCATAAATGGTCATGCAAATCACCTCATGAATGCGATCTACATATAAATAAGCCGGCATGCGAGTGTTCTCTCGTTGTGTCACGGCGACGGGTGACAAACGAACCAAAAAACGGAATTTCTCTGAGACTGAGCTAGAGACCCTTTAATGGGAGGTGGAGGACTGAAGAAAGATTTTATTTGGTGGCCACAGCAGCGGGATCACTAATAAAAGAAAGCGAAAAAAAGTGGCAACACATCAACACTGCTGATGCTGTCAGCTGTGTCTGTGGGACTGCACGGACAGTGACAGAACAAAAAAAAAAGTGGTCTGATCTAAAGGTAGACCAAATATTTCTAGTCCTTTACCAACATGTAGTTAATGTGTTGCTTTTAAATTTGAGGATGTTTGACACTGATGTGCGACATAAAGAATCACATTTATTAAAGGTGGAGGCAAAAAGGAGTATGTGCTAGTGCCATCTTGCGCAATTACGTACGAGGGTCACCGCAGTATTTATATGTTTATGGCAATTAGTCTGATCAGACTCCTGGCCTGAATTACAGCATGAACCAGTGGTATCCCTGTCCCAAAATACAACGTGTAATTTGAAATACAATTCAAAGATGAAAGTGTAATAGGCGAACATGTTTCTTCATGCCAGTTTTGTCATGAACAGCACATGTCTAAGTAGGGCTGATGAAATGAGTGTAACGGTTGTGCTTAATGGCTGTATTTCGAGACATGATAAATGCACTGGAAATATTTAGCTAAATAAATACATATATTCCACGCAGTCGCGCCATCCTCTCCCCCTCCTGCGCTCACAGAGTGGACAATGAGTCGTTAGAGGCAGTGCGGATTAAATAAGTATTTAGAAAGAATTTCAATTCAGGATTTGAGTTGGATTTTACAACGTTTTTATGAAACAATTATCACTCACTCCAAGCGCAAAATAAGGCTGCTGGATTTAATTTCAATGATAACGTGGATCTAAGGTGGATATAGCGTGACATTAAATTTGTATGAGACATCAATAAAAATCTGACTCCACTTCTCCACCTCGCCGTCTGCGTCGCCACTTCCCAGTGTCTCCAAAATGTGCGCACGCATGACTCAGAGTTTGCTTACAGGTGCGCACATTCTCCCGCCAAGTTTATTTTTATAAATCACAACCTTTGCGTGGTAAGTGGCGTACGCCACTTTCAAGCCCCGTTCTGTGCGTAAGCAAGCTTTATAAATGAGGCCCCAGGTCTTTAACTGGAAAATGTGAGGTCAGGCGCTGGTTGCTACTCTTGTGCCTTTTCTGCGCCAGCTTTCAATAGTGCGGCAGCAGGTTGCCTCTGAGGTTGCTAAGCAACCCCAACAAGCACTGTGTCATAGCTTATTTATCTGAAATCCGGAGTGCAGAGCTGATGCTCTTCCAGGCGCTGCATTGATCACAGACTGATATTTAGGGAGGAAGGGAAAGATATTTGCCAGCTGTAATTGGTTGGTCCTCGTCACATGACATGCAGTGCACAGTGTTGCATTCCAAAAATTGAACTCAGTTCATTTCAGGACACAGCCATTGTGCCCTGAAAAATAGGTGCTTGGGAATGTGTGTGCTCCACGACGGCGTTGCTCTGATGTTTGAGCACGCCTGCTGCACGCCTACGTTGAAAAAAATGAATTTGAGTGCACAAAAACATAGCATGTGTACAGCCCCTTACTCTGAACATAAAATAAGTATGGATTCATGAAATGAGTGCATTGGCTGATTTTAGTGAGCCTATGTTAGTGATCCTTCTAAACTGACACGCCCTTGCCCACTATCTGAAATCTGCATACTGCCATGCCCCCATTTCTCTATATAAGGACATACGTTTGCCCAGAGGTGTATCATGGAGAAAGCAGTGAAGTTGTTTCTACACACATATTAAGGCTCTGACACACCAGAGTCAAGCCATCAATGAACATCTGTAAATGTGAAGGCAGTCAGAAACAGCTGATAAGCCATTTGTCGATTGTTTGGTCATTATGTTTTTGTCCGACCAAATTCTCATTGGTCAGACAAAAGCATAAATAGAAAAGTGTTACAATGCGCAGGATAATATTCATAGGAGATCACATCTATATTTCATTCAGAGCATTCCACCTGCCTGGACAGAGTTAACTTGCCCTGGACAAGTGCTCTGTGTGTCTGTGTCATTTCAGTCAACCAAGATTTTCTTTGGGTGATTACAGCCCTAAACAAATCACATTTTGCCCCAAGGTGCTTTGATTTCTGAGTGGGCATTTTATTCTAGCCACTGTGAGCTCACCAATTCACAGAAAGTGATATATACTGTAATATATCTTACCCTCTCCAGAAGGCTCATCTCCTGAAACTCGGGGCTGGTGTTGGCCAGGCGCTGCAGAGAGTGGGTCAGGTCGTAGTTTGTTGCAAAGTAGAAGCCGTCCGTATGAAGCACATTGTTGATCATGGACAGGAATGTCTTGTTGTCTTGCATCTGAAACAAGAGACAAATCCAGCACCACAGGTGAGAGACAGAAACACTGACTGGAGAAGGGTGGCAGTGCGGAACACAGCCAGTCGAGGATGCAACTCAACTCCGGAGCCTTTGTAATCCACTGTCTCTCAGGTTAACTCGTATTGCAGCGGTGCCTGGATAGTGTGAAGTGTGTGGTTGTGCTGCTGCCGTGGTCCTGCCAGATGCCTCCTGCTGCTGCTGTTATCATTAGTCATACTTCTACTGTTATTATACACATATGATTATTGTCACACATGTATACTATCAGATATGAATATATTATTATTAATTATAACATTATTACTTTCATTAATGTTGTTGTAAGATACTGTCATTACTGTCTGTCCTGCATCTCTCTCTGTCTCTTTGTGTCATATGGATTACTGTTAATTTATTATGTTGATCTGTTCTGTACGACATCTACTGCACGTCTGTCCGTCCTGGAAGAGGGATCCCCCCTCAGTTGCTCTTCCTGAGTTTTCTATGGGATTTTTTTTTCCCGTTAAAAGGGTTTTTTTTTTGGGGGGGTGGGGTTCCTTATCCGCTGTGAGGGTCCAAAGGACAGAGGGATGTCGTATGCTGTAAAGCCCTGTGAGGCAAATTGTGATTTGTGATACTGGGCTTTATAAATAAAATTGATTGATTGAATTGAACTCAGACACCTGGGTGATTCTGACGACAACCTAAGTCCATCTCATTTCTCTCATTTCATGTCTTTTTGCTATCATGAGCCAAGATTTTATGGAAGTGTTCTCATTAAATATCACATCAATAAATAATGAATTCACAAGTAATAAAGGACAAGTTGCTAATGCTGGACTGCTGCTAAAAATGTCTTCGTTCATGTCCACTCAAACTCATTTAATTCTGAAGAAATAAAGTCAGGGTTCCCACATATTTTCATAGACAAAGTTTCCAAAATTTTCCATGGACCCATAAAAAATCTTACCAAACTTGCCTGGCTTTACATATATACATATATAAATATATATATATATATATATATATATGATA